AATATATTCACGATTGTGCAATGTCGCTTTTATAGAATCTCTATATATAACTGCCCGGGTATACCATTTAAACAAGTTATTAAAGATTGATGGCTCTACCACGATATATGCACTAAATTTATCTATTTACCAAACCATTAAGTATTTTACATGAATTCAGTTGTTAAAGTTGTAAAAGATAAATTTCATAGTTGTCCATCCCGGACAGTATCGGATTTGTAATCGAGAGATCACCGATTCCATCTCCTATGTAGGATTAAGTGGCAAAAATACGTAAAAAAAATCGGCGTAAGAAACAAATTTAAATTGCCCTTGGATGATATATGCACTAATATGTTATGTTTTTTTGCCTTATTGCAGATTAAACTAACTGCAGATCCTGATCATGTGATGTTGAGCTATTACGATACCAACCCTTTATGGGAAATCTTAGAAACAAGTGTAAAAAATTCCACTAGAGTTAACGTAGATGTCCTTATTTATGAATTAAAGTTAAAGCGGAAACCCCAGCACGCAATGTTGACATTATTTCTTCCAGTTTTGTTGCTCACCATTTTAGGACTTTTCGTGTTTGCAAGATAGATCAGGATACGCGGTTACAGTTTTCCTTGCTTTTTCTGTCTACTTAACTCTTGTAGATTCTGTTATGCCGCCAAATTCCCAGAAGATACCACTCTTTTCGATATATCTAGTAGTTCAAACTGCCCAGTCAACAATCATCACAATTCTATCTGTACTTTTAACAAAAGCGGAATTAATGGACAAGGACTCCACTGTACCACGTTGTCTTGTGTTTCTAGTTAAAATTAGCACAGTATGCTGTAGGAAAAAGTTGAAATCTTACAACGTCGATACTATTGAAAGCACTGAAACAGAAGCAACTTCGGATGACAAGAACGATAAGAATAAGGAGACCAAAATTGTCACGGAAAAAAACCCTTGCACTTGGGGCATGGTTGTCGACGCCGTTGATAAAGTAGCATCAATATTCTTCACTCTCACTTTTATTGTAGCAACCGTAGGTTTCTTTTGTATAATCATTCTTGCAAAAAATTGACTGCTTCATTTGATGAAAACAAACTTATTTACATTTCCTACAATTATATATTTACTACTGAAAATGATCTGTAAGTTTTATCTAAAATTTGGATGTTTGAATAGATCATTTGATGTTCTATCAATCACGTGTTAATCTATATCTTCTAGCGAGATAGAATTCAAAACGCGTTCTCGGGAATATATCTAATGTTCTACCCAAATTGACGAATTAATTAAAGAAATAGTGTGTTTCACCGTAGAAGTTTGCGAATTTCTCATGCTTTGAGAAGTAATGATATCACGAGGATATGCCGTCAGGGATACAATGATCCGTCACTGTTGATCTTGCATTATTTTCAAATTGGAGTAAGAGAGTGTTCTACATTAAGCGCGATAACTAGCATGTTAAACACTGTCACTGTTATAATTCATAGTTATCTCTCTGATTGATTAACTAAAACATATAATATTATGTGAACTGTATTATCAAAGTTTAATCATTCAAGATTAAACTCTTTTATTTTACATGAATGACACATTTCTTAATTTATCGATCAGTAGAACTGCGTATCAATACGCATGCCCAGTCTTGGAGCTATATTTAGAACACTATATATAAGGAGCTGCGCGAGCCCGCTGCTTCCTTTTCGTTCTGGAACTCTATGAGAAAGGTAGCTGCTGATCATATTTTAATATTTTGTAAAAATCTTAAATTAGGTTTTAATTTTTGGATGTTAATTGTAAAGTTTAAATTATTATTTTAAACGTTAACTATTTAAGTGCTCTTTATATGTCAGTCTTTATAAATCTCGTTTTTTGATTGAATTTTAAATGAACGAAAATAGAAAATAACCACGTGGCCCTATTTATCCAAAAGGGACAATACAGTTATAACTTTTCCAAATTATCAATAGTATAAACATAAGAAACGTTAACTATTGAAGTGCTCTTCTTATATAAATCTTTATTAATCTCGCTTTGATTTAATTTTAAATAAACAAAATGGGAAAATAACCACGTAGCCTTGTTTATCCGAAAAGGCTATACATTTATACTATTCCTTATTATCAATATAGTATAAACATAAGAATTGATCATTAAAATCTATATACTGGCAATATTATAGGCTGTTTATAATAAGACAATTTGTTGTTTTTTCTTGATCAAAATGCCCAAACGACGTGCGGACGAAACTGTGAGACTGGCCAGTGCTGTAAATGAGAAAAGACGACAAGCACAGAGGACACCTGGCTCGAATCCGAACCCACGGCAAGAAGTTGTTCAAATTGATGACTCTTCCCCAACTTCAGGTGAAGTAAATTTTCAATCTAACATTATTTTGTCCGCCCATGTTTCTCAATCTATCAAAGAGAAAATATGGTGCAATAATTATATAGAATTACATCATCTGCTTCCTAAAGTTAAACCAGATTCTGCAGGAAAACAAAAAATACAATTTGAAAATGGTGTTTGTTTGTTTGTTTCATTTTACGCCTTTTCCCAACAGTATTTCAGTCATATAGGCGGGTAGTTTCCTAACCATCGTTCCTGGAGAGTTACACCAGTACGTGACAACCTTCCTCCGCGCTAAACTACCAAAGCATCTCCCGGGGATCGTGAGCTGATCCTATGTCCCAATGAACAATCGCCCAAAGGTATTGAAAACATTGAATCTTGGACAGATGGTTTCCATATCTTTATTGCTATATATATACTAAAGCATCCTGATGAAATTGGCAATTTGCTACAATATATGGCAAACATACGACAGGCAGCAACCAGGCATATCGGTTGGGCCGCCTACGACTCTAGCTTTAGGCTAAAAAAATCTGTCAACGAATCTTTAAGATGGGAGACAATCGATCCAGAACTCTGGATGTTGTCCATGCAAACCAATTCAGTCGGTTGGTCTTTCGATACCTCCCTTTCTCGAAAAAGTGTTTTCCTTTTAATAATAAGGGCTTTTGTGTCAACATAAATTGTTCTTTTGCACATAAGTGTATAAAATGCTCTGGTAATCACCCAGCATTACAGTGCAGAATAATAGTAGCAGATACGTATTCACAAGATGCTTCGAGATTAAATACTAGGCCTAATCGTTTCAGTCTCGGCAACTCCCCCACAGTTCCCACAGTTCCAGTACCAAGTTTTTCTCCTCAAACAGAAGATTTATGGGGCCTAGGTTTAACACCAATTAATATAATTACCCTTAAAAAACAATTGACAGGTTACAATATAAACGATGCTTCTTTTATATATCTGGATTTAAACATGGGTTTAAATTAAATAATACTGGTCCAAGAGCACCAGTTTTCTCGGATAATCTCGCGTCAGCTAAACAAAATCCAGGAGTCTTAAATAAAAAATTATATGAGGACAAAACATTTGGCTGGATTGTCGGACCATTCAAGCAACCACCTATTTCAAATTTGCAAATTAATGCTGTTGGGCTCGTTCCAAAAACGCTCTGGTGACTGGAGACTTATCACAAATTTGTCATTTCCCGCCAAAATAACAGCGTAAATGAATTTATCGAACCAGATTATCGGCATGTCAAGTATGCACAATTCGACGAAGCAGTATCAATTGTTCAATGTATAGGAAAAAAAAATGCAGTCTGTTGCAAAGCTGATATAAAATCAGCTTTTAACTTGTGTCCTGTCTGGCCAGGTGACTTTGACTTACTTGTATTAAATCAGATCTGGGTTACTGGGTGCAAAAAAATGTTACCTCAGGGTTCCGCCTGTGCCTGTTTCATTTTCGAAAAATTTGCTTCTTTTTTAGAATGGCTTGTTAAAAAAGAATCTGGTAAAAATAATTTGACTCATCTCTTAGATGATTTTTTTATGGCAGACGATAGTTTTGAATCATGTCTGGAACTCTTTAATGTATTCAAACACGTTTGTTCAGATCTTGGCGTACCTCTGTGTCCAGATAAGTTGATAGGTCCTTTAAAAACTATTACTTACTTGGGGCTTGAAATAAATGCGGAGAATCAAACTATTCACGTACCCTCAGACAAAATAAATAAAGCTAAAGACGAACTTTTGCGGCTTATATCTTCAAAAAAAATAACTTTGAAAGGCTATTCCTACTGGTAGAGCTTTCTTGCGAAGATTTTATGATTCTATGTCTAAGGTTAAAAAATCTTTTCATTTTATACGTGTAAACAGGGACATGCGCGATGACGCCATGACCTGGCTCACATTCCTTTCTGAATTTAACGGACTCGCCATGTTTAATGAGAAGAATTGGTCAGAGAATACATTTATTGAACTCTACACTGACGCCTCCGGCAACAAAAAATTGGGTTGTGACTGCTACTTTAAAGGTCAGTGGTGTGCCTTTTAAGTGGCCAGCCCACTGGAGGAGTTTATTTTTTAAGGACATTACATATCTTGAACTCGTGCCTATTGTTCTAGCTCTCGAGTTATGGGGCAATGAAATGAAAAACAAAAAGGTTATGTTTCGGTCTGATAATGAGTCTTTAGTTCATATTTTGAATAAAAAATCGTCAAAAACAAGCGGGTTATGAATCTGATTAGACCTTTAATGCTTTCCATACTACAAAAATAATATTCAGTTCAAAGGTAACATGTTAGCACAAAGTTAAACACAATCGCTGATTCTATAAGTCGCTTTCAGTGGGCAAGGCTGTATCAGGAATTACCAGAAAATGCAGCAAAACAGCCATGCAGTATACCAACGGCCTTTCTACGTCTCTTAAGCCAGAAATAGATAGACTTATTTATGTATCATTGGCGGAAAATACTCATAAACAATATAACACTGCAATATCTTCATTCTCAAACTTTTGTAGTATGATAGGCGTATCACTGCAATGGCCTCCAACAGTGCATCAGATAACAGAATAAATAGCTTTCATGTCCTTGCAACAGTACGCCTATAAGACAATAAATAGCTACATATCTGCTATAAGTTATGTCACTAAGCTTCACGATATGGTTGATGACACAAAAAAGTTTAAGGTGAAACGTATGCTTGAAGGTTTAAGACGAACAAGAGGGTCTAATGATACACGTCAGCCTATAACAGATGACATATTAAAAAGTTAATTTCAGCGTTACAAAGTGTCTGTCGCTCTCGGTACGAGTACATGCTATTTGCAGCTGCATTTTCACTCGCATGTATTGCACTCCTTAGAGTGAGTGAATTCACTTCACGCAACAAGAGGTCATCAAATCATTTCCTGTCAATACATGACATTACTATGGGTTCGGGGGGACAAAAATACGTTTATACATGAAACATTCGAAAACTGATCAAAGAGGTCGTGGCACATTTCTCGATATCGAAATTGAGGGAAAAAACAAGTTTTGTTATGATAATATTCACTCTTATCTTAACTATCGTCAGTGCCAAAATAATACTGACCACCTTTTTTGCCATTTTGATGGGTCTCCTCTGACTTCTTACCAGTTCAATGCTGTTCTCAAAAAGGCTGTTAAATTCATTGGTCTGGATAACAGCAAGATAAGGTCTCATTCTTTTAGGATAGGGCTGGCTTCAGGGATGTATAGAGATGGGTGTCTTATATGACCTTATAAGTCTTATATTCGTTAATTTCAGACAATACTGTGGGTTTTTCCTGAAGCCGTTGTCGGTTCATTTAACCTTTTTTTTGCTAATCACATAAATAAGTAGTTCATACTATTTAATTCTTCACGCCAGTTCATGTTTGTTTTGCATTAATAAAAAAAATATATATATATAGATTCTATTTAAAGATAGCTTACGTGTTGTCTGATGTGATTATGCGTACAATACGTCTTATAATATGAGTCCCGAAGGTTAAACCAGTTAAGTGATAGCAGTTACAAATTTTTCAAAATTATAAAGATATTGTGAAGGATCTGCCAAATGCCAAATAATAAAGATAAAGTTGTATGATGAAATAATAAAGATAAAGTTGTATGATGAAATAATAAAGATAAAGATGAAATAATAAAGATAAAGATGATATGATGATAATAAAATCATAATGTTTGTGTTGTTATAATAATGGTTTCTAAATAGAAATGATAATGTGATAAAGATAAAGGTGAAATGACGAAGATAACACCATAATGTTTGTGTTGTTATTATAATGACTTCAGAATAATGATAATTAGATAAAGATAATGAGGACATGATGATAATAACATCATAATGTCTGTGTTGCTATGATAATAATTTCAGAAAATGAATGATAATTTGATAAAGATAATGATGACTGTTTTGACAATAATATCATAATGTCTGTGTTGTTATGGTAATAATTTCAGACTAATGATAATTTGATAAAGATAATGATTACGTGATGATAACGACAATATTATGATAGTCGTTTGCAATAGTATAATGATAGGTTTGATAAATATAATGACGAAATGATAATATGATTGCAGAATGATAATGATAATGTGACAAATATAATTATGATAATAATACCAGATCGATTGATGGTATAAATTCTTAACTCAAACGCCATATATAAGGTTGTTATTGGTCGGCGATCCGCTTTTGGCAACTTAAATGTAACATTTGCTATCACTGTATAGGTAGACCGTTGTCGGATTCCTATACATAAATATTGACGATTAAGCTCCAAATTTTCATGTTCCTTTAATGTCTGGATAATTGGTTCCTCCATTATAAGCGGTGCATATCAGAGACTGTGTTCAAGACCAGACGGCGTTAATCTAGGGTTACGGAAAACTATTGGTGGTAATCTTGTATGGGAACATATGGGTGGTATGAAAATCGAGGATCTGGAACAAAGTATAGCCTACTTAACTTCCTTTAAGCAGAATGATCCCCCGACTTATATTCTTATTCATTGTGGAGGCAATGATATAGGCCTTAAAACATCTGCTGCTATTATTGCGGATCTCAAAATAATTATAGATAATATCAGAAGTAAGTTTCCAAAATAAATAATTTGGTCACAGATTTTACCAAGGCGATCATGGCGTTATATGCCGGATGTATATCACGCTGACCGGGCAAGAAAACGTATAAACAGCTCAAAAGCCACCTATGTCATAAATGGCGGGGGTCACTACCTAAAATACCCGGATATAACTCTCGCCCCAATGTTCTTTAGGTACGACGATACACACTTGTCGCCCACTGGTTACCACCTTATGCTGAATAGTATTTCCGGAGCAATTTATTCATTCAGGAAACTCAACAGTCCTATCTTCCCGATGTGATTAGTGACTGTATTGGTTGTTAGTAATTCCTTAAAGTATACATGTATATATATATCATATAAATCATGTTTCTAATATTATTTTTTTTTAGTTTTGCAACGTGGCTGGGTTAAGTCGTTATGTTAAACCGCTTTGGCGGAAGGTACTCTCATTCTTCGAGCCCCTTTTTGGCTGAAATTTAACATAACGTATTTCTATTTGCGACCGTTGTCGGGGCAAATATGATGTGTATATATAAAGTTCTAAAATTTGTTTTTATACCCAGTCATGATGGAAATTGTTCGCCAAAAGAAATAAAAAAGTTATAACATAAATTGTTGTATTTTCTTCTCGTATAAGACTGATTTGCGATGTACAATGGCCTCTCGGGTTCGAACCAGCAACCTTATTCCAGAACTCTCTTTATTATGCATTCATTGGAAAATAAATTCATGTATACTACGCATTTTGATAATACAGGACGAACGGCTTACTAGCTCTTATGTTATTTTCGCACTGTTTTATACAAAAATGGCTATCATAAAGTTCACAAGTCACGAAAACTTCAACAACACTAAAAATGAGAAATAAAATCTTCAAATACATATTTTTTCTGTAAAAAACATACATGTATATCAATTACTGCTGATTATAAATACATGTACTGTATACAGGACAGGTGTATATATGTACACGTATATTCACTTTATAAAAAGTAATATGAACATACGGAAAATGATGAACTTCTTAACAAGGATTTACTTTCATTTATTTTATTATGTTTCATCCAGGAACGGTTAAATACTTTGATAGCGAAAATTAAATTTATTTAAATCTAGAAAGTTCTTGCTAAATCTATTGAATTTGAATAAGAGAATGCACAAACTATGTTTAGGAAGCTGTGTCAAGAGACATTTGTCCTGTCTGCCAATCTCTAGTATACGCTTATACTGTATTTATCTGTTGATTACATAACTAAGTTTATCTGTCAAATTGCATGATAAAAATATAGTACTGCATGAGTTCCATTATATTTGTTAAATGTGCCATGTATAATTCTTACCCGTGCTTTTTTTAGTTTGTCCATGTAAACACATACAATATAAACAGATAATACCTAGTATTACAGTGCAATTAATAAGGTTGTCGAATTGCTAGTGCATTTGACACTATCTTTCTCGCATTGTATTTGAATTATATAATAATCAAGCTGCGTTTTCAATAAAAGATTTCAAACAATCTAAATATATTTGAAGTTTTTGCGATTAGGATGAAGACAGCATTAATCAATCAATGACCGTAAAATGGTGGTTTTGTAGGTAAATGTTTACATTTTATGATAAAATATAACTGATGAATTTCTCACATACAATTTTTCTGTGAAATTTTGCTTTTTGAATTTGAGTACAATGTTATTTCAGTTGATCTGCACAAGCAATTTGATCGTAACTTTATATCTTCCTTACGTCTCAGACTGGATAATATTGTGCTTACATCAGTGTTTGATTAATCATTCATGTTTATTACCCTTCCAGATTTTTTCCGCCTTTTTGATTGGATATTGATCACCCGAAAGAAATTGATATAACCGAGCCAGACGGGTAATATACACACTAAATTTCCCCGTTGGGTACCCAACGTTGTAAACAACATGCGCTGAGGTGATGCGCGTACGGTTCGATTTTACGCGGTGTAAATTCCGATTTAAAAGCACTTTGTAACTGTCAAATGATAAATATTTACCAAAGTAAAGTAATGATACATATTACCATCAGTATCGAAAACAAATATGACCTTGTGAAAGCTTGATATTAATTACAAAAAAGTGCGTTCAATAGACTACTCCTTTTGTCTTGTTTACATTCGTTAAGTACGGGAAAAATACGTCATGTATTTATGTGACGTCATGTTGTGACGAAGAGGTAACCTAAACAGTCACCCCAAGCTTTATCAGACACCTCATCAATACACATTTTGACCTTGACGGAACTACTTTGTTCAGGTCATTTCCGGTCTACTGTTTGAATTGGATACTACAAATACTACATATTTTGATACGATGAAATAAAACATATTAAAAACACAAAACAAAATTGTTACTGTTTTATTTTTTTTTGTTGTATTGCTTCACACTTTTTTAATAAATTATCAGTCCGCAATCCATCCACTGGACCATCAGCTACAGTTACACGGTCAGATTCTCCATCGCCTTTTACAGATCAAACTGGCACTGTTACAAATAAGTCATTAGAGTCCATTTCCATATCTCATTCTGCAGTTTCAACGGAGTCACATGGCAAAATGAATCCTGGCCAAATCTGTTACCCCATCCACTCATCACAGCAGATTGCTTTATCCAGCAACAGCTTAAATTCCATATTTTATGGCGCAGTATTGCATGTCAACAACCTGAATGTTTATTCAAGTCGGTAAATTCACTTTAAAAAATATAAACACTTGAAGATGAACTGGCAAACTTAAAATTTCCATTTTCCGTGAAATCAGCTGTTCAACACTGTTCAACGACATTTTCAAATCTTGTTTACTTTGTTTTCTCATATCCTGTTCATTACTGTAACACTGATATGTCTCATGAAACGCTTGATATTGAATAAAAACACGTAATCTTATTTTGTGAATTGATAAATCCATTTAACCCAGACATTTTATCCAATTTTCATCTATCGATTACGCTCGTTCAACGTTCGTAGTCCATACGTCGGTAAATTCAAGATGGCGACATGAAACCAAAATATCAAAAATATGCGAAATTTGCGAAATGAAATAAAAAGAATGGAATATTTTTTCCTGCTACTGGGTTGGAAATATTTAACTGATAAACTTTGAATCGAATAGAAATTTTGAATATGAACGCGTCACTTACAATTAACTAAAACATTCAGGACTATTTCTTTTTGATTTGACATTTCACATATTATTGCACGCCGTCTGAACACCAGAGGTTCTGGATAGGGTTTTGCTTCAAGATACAAGATACAAGAAACTTTATTTTAAGTCGGTTTACATATTACAAGAAACATTAGCTAATAAGCTATTTACCGACAATAACAAAGGCATAAAACATATTTACTAACATATAACAGTTCTGAAAATAAAAACAATTAAAATAAAAAAAATCAAACAACAATTGAAATTGACAACATGATAAATAGAATACCAAACAAGTGTCTGATATTATAAAATTTATCAGGCTCGGCACGAAAAAAAATGAAGAGCTCGGCAGAGCCTCGCCCTTCTTTTTTTTTCTTAGCCTTGCCTGATAAATTTTATAATATCAGACACTAGCATGGTATTCTCTTTATATCACTCCAAAACCAAAATAACATATAATGTTTGAAATGACGTCAATACATATTTTATGAATGTGTTGTATACTTAGGATGACGTCATTTCGCTGCTTACGGATTGGCGCCGTTTTGTTAAAAAATTATAAATCGGTATGTTTTTCTTAACTTGTGGCGTTAGTGTATGTGAGATATTATTTCAGCATTATATGAAGCGAAAACATTATAAGAACGGAAAAAATCAATAAAATGCGTTATTATTCTTGCTTTAAAAGGCTTCATAAACTATAAAATTGAGGGAGAAAACATAAAAGCCACATATACAAGTAGTCCCTAACCAGTGTTTATTGGCAGTTTGAAAACTGTTTTTTTTTCTTCTAAGGGTAGAGTGATAAAATCACGAGAAGTGTTAGAATTTTATGTATATATCGCAAATGACGTAACGTCTAAGTGTTGTTACACTAATGCAATACCATTTTAAGTAAATTGGATTATTATTCTCCTTCGCCTTGCGTTATGTGATAAAAATATAATCATTATTTGATGAAAGCTTTCACCTTATGTTCAACCCTGTACAATTTCCCATGTTTGTAATAAAGACTCAATGTTTTAAAACAATGTATTTAGCTACGAAATTATTGTTTTTGTAACTAACAACAACATGTGTTATAGGTGCTTGAACAGCGCACTTGTAATCCGCATGTTGATGGTGATGTTCTACCGGACGTGAGATTCTTTTTTTCCGTTTGCACTATCTGCACTGACGAAACAACTGGATAAAGTCTCCTGGCGTGATGTAAAGCCTGAATTCCTTACAGAAGCTGATCTTCCAAGTTTTAGTAGGTTTTAAGTTCAGTGATAGGTTCAAATATTTTATATTTATTGATTAAAATGATCATATAACTTGTTCAGTGGGTACTGTATATTTAAGAAATAATATATCCCAAACTGTGATTTTATAGCTCAATAACATCACTGTTTGGAGTTCGGATGCGAGGAATTATATCACGAGGGCGTAGCCCGAGTGATATAATGTTGCGCATCCGAACGACCAACAGTGATGTTATCCAGCGATAAAATCACCGATTTGGATATATTATTTCGATTCTAACACGACATAAACAAATAAATGCTGCCGTACCTGCTATTAGGCAAAATTGCGCCTGATTTGTTTCCGTACTTATTGTCAGCGCGTCGGATTTCATAGTGGTTACGTCACATGTACAATGATTACGTCACACGTCTAAATATGGAACGTCAAACAGTGACTCTATTGCATAATAATACACACTTTCGGTTCTTCTATGTTCAATAGGGAAAAATGCGGGTCGTGTTAGAATTCAAATTAGTGCAAGCGGTTCGCAAATTCAATGATGAAAGTGAATTAGTTTAATAACTTTTTTCTTAATCATAGTTATAT